TACTTTTCTTTGATCACAGTAAGAATTCCAAGCCACCTTTGGTAAATAAAAAACCAACGGTTTTTTGCATTCCGTGAGTTGAAAGCACTATTCACAAGTTGGAGTACAGTGATTTCGTCAAATTTGAGTAGTTTTATTTTTCGTTAACTGTTCTTCTTGATTAAAAGTGAATATTTGTCATGTATGGTTTGCCTGTTTATCAGCATTTTCACACAGCAAACTTAATGGAACAAGATTATATTGATATATGTTATATTATTTTATTAATATATTATATCATGTATATGGGCAATGTTAACTCTTAAATTTGTTTCTACAACCGTTGACAATATACCCGATAAACTTTCTACCATTCAAGCCACAGAGAGTTTATGAAACACGACAGAATTTAATAATTAACTTTGCCCAGACGATCGTGTTTGTCGTTCCGGTGAGAAACTAGGTCTAGGATTTATGGGACTTCAGATTTCCATATTTTTGGAATTCAAGATATAAAACTGTCCGAAATGAACCGAATATTCTGCACCACAGGTGACAGCATAAATTACCACGTGACATGAAGTTTCCATCTGGCATCATTATGAATTGTCCTTTTTACGAAAATCACATTTCCTGTGCATATCCTTCTTTTCTTGGACAAAATGTCCTCCGTTAAGGATTTAGTATTGCTCCACATTTTTTATTCACACGGCATAAAAACGTTGTGCTCTTGTTTATCCAGAAAAGGGCAGCGTCCCAGAAAAGGATCATCAATGCACATAGAAAACACTCAGCTTCGATAAATGGAATTGAAAGCATCAATAAAAAGGTAATAATGCTGGTGACCTGTAACACCTGTACGCACCTTTTCAGTAGTCGATCAATAACTTAAAAGTGAATATATAAAGTTAACGAAAGTTTCAGTTCAAACACAGCTCCTTTTTACATGCGATGGAAATATTTGCGATAACCGTAAAAGAGCACTGGGAATTAACGCGCTCCCAAGGAGTGAAACCCACACCCAAGAACATCAAGGGTGCCTGGTACCTCTGAACAATCGAATGGGTTAATCCAAGCTTGCTACTCTAAAGCAGCTTGTTTTAGTTGGTAAACTACAGAAATCCGTTGAGACAGCAGAACACCGATAGCCGATGTGTAGTTCCAGGAGAACATACAAGATTGGCTTAACTTCCGGTGATAGATATAGACACACTTGTTAAGGTTGACGTGTATCCAATGGTTCACGTCAGTCGGAACAACTCACATGAATGGAAACTAAATGGAACAAAAACTTGGGAAATCAAAACATGGTGTTTTGACTTGCGCTGGATATAGCGCGAAACGATTTAACTAACCCACAGAAACCCTCGCAAGCAGCAGAATAAATAGCACTGTGTTACGCAACACTGAGCAGCACGTAAAACTAATCGGCTCAATAGCGAATGGGATCTAGTGTAGTCTGTTCTTCACTGACCGGTTACTTTACGGTTTGTGTGATGAATCGCAATCGTGCCGCGAATGATAGTTACCGGATTCGTTTTTATACCGCTTTCTACGTTTCTGCATAAATATGGTAATGTTTTGGTTCAAGTAAACTTAAATGAAATAGTTAAAGCATTAACTTTTTCAATTTATTCATTAAAAACTATGATACATTGGGGGTAATGGCTAAATGATACAAAACTAGCCGTATTACAATAAACCTTTATTAGAACGAGCTCGTTACCAATAACCACTAAAAGGTGATCAAATCGTTTTGAACTTCCATGAATACACCTTTTACCGCATGAAGCAATTTAAAAGAAAATGGTTATAAAACTGATGTCATTTCGAAACCAAACAATGCATGTCTTGCTTGTTAAAATAGTTAAACTGTCCAACTGTGTACACTGCATCCTATTTTGACAGGATTTTTCCTTCTTCTGCTTTCTCTGTCTGCAAAATATCACTCTGGTGATCACATGTACCGTTTTATCATGTTCGTGATGACCTGAAGTTGCGTCAAACAATGTTGAGAAACTTGCTCATCAAAATTACGGGGTGTTAATTTAAATCTCTATGGCAGAATTAACCGTCTGTGGTCTGAAGTTTAACCAACGTTTGTCCGATTGCAAGTGTCCACTTATTACCGTTTCGATGTTTGGTGGAATGTTTGTTCAGTTTGAGGTAGGTAAAACCCTTTATCCTACAAGAGATTCATTTTGTACGATTAACCATTGATCGTTTATACTTTTTTTCCAGTTATCTGTTATTCTGAAACAGATCTCAATCGGTGCTAAAGACGTATGATTTTTTTGTTTTTATCAAGCAGTTGCAAGTTGATTGCATATTGTTATTTCTTCTTGTCTCTGATCTGTGTCAAACTCAGTCTAGGCGCAACAGCACAACTAGCACAGCGCGACCAAACAGTTGCCCTTGACAGAATACCGGTCATTGACCAATCAGATTTGTTCCCCGAAATCCTCTGATTCAGGCTATTTAAGATTGCCCTGGGTGCGAGGCGAATCGCGGCGTTTGTGCATATTGCCAGCTATTAGACCCTCCAGGGCCCGACCTCATGAAGTGTTTCAGCACGGTGGCTTGGCTTGGGCTATGGCTGGCATTGGTGTTAGCTGATCCCACTCCGTTGTCTGGAAATACACGCCACAGGCGCTCAGTGGTCTATGCAAATCTAAAGACATGGCCCGGAGCCATAGTGCCGTATTTGATCGGTGTAGGTCGAAACACGTCTGACGAGGACACTTGGTGGTTCTCAGGTAACAATGAGTTTTGTCTTGCACAATCTTTCATTATAATTATAAATTAACTGCATACGGAATAATATCATTTAAAAGTAAAATAGCCTTTCATTCATAAAGCTTTGCAAAGAAAGATATGTAGCTTTAACAGGGCACAGTGATAAATGGTATTGTACTTTCTCGGGTAATTCGCTGCATATATGCAAAACTCTAATAAATTTCTTTGTGAACCTATTTATCAGGAGTAACTTATTCATCGTTCAATAAAATCATACAGGTTCATGAAATATACATACACGTATGCGTTCCTGTTAACTGAATAATGAGTGTAACTGATAACATATCAATAGCCATATATTCAGGAGGCGTCTCTTGGTAAGAATACTGTTGATCATCACAGAGATAAACCTCCTGCATTATTAGCACAATATAAAAAGGCATGGGGCATGGGCTTTCATCGATCAACTAATCAATCTAAGGGGTACACATCAGTAGGAAAAAAGGTCTAAGATGGTGTCTTTTTCGAACTCTGATCTCATATCCGGGTTACTGTGATACTGACCTGACGAGCTCCGCCGAATCTTCATGTAATGGTTACTCTCATTTTATTCTTATGTTTACCCACGTGCTATGCTTACTGTAAATTTTATTCCAAGTTTCTATTTTCGTGGTTCGCATCTATGTGGTGTTGGAGGCTAACTAAAACCAGAGAAGAGTTCATTCTGTACGACCCATTTTATTGCTCCCTGTGTCATGGTACTCGAGCAAAATGAAATGTAGTATTTTTTGGAGAATCGCTTCCCAAATAATGCAAACTGTTGTTTTTGTAGCACGTGTATTATAACTTGATGTTCAGTTGTTCGCCGAGCTTGGCAATTCCGTTTAATCACCAATCGAAACCCAATTACTGCATTGAGAATGTCATCTCGATAGATGATGAAAGGTTTGCAATACCAGTGCAAAGCCCGACGAACAAGCGAACATCAATGCAAACTATTTCCAATTTGGTGATTATTGTCTTTAATACTTTCAGATTTGGAAATAAAGCTTATGCTTAAAGCGATGCAAACCATTGAAGAGGAGACTTGTGTGAGGTTTATCGATGCGTCACAGAATACTACTCTGTTAAACGGTAGCTATATCGAAATCGTCGGTCGCAATGAAAAGTGAGTCTATTTTCACACTATGTCATGCGCAGCCCGTTGTTGCGCTGAACTGTCACCTTTTGTTCAACACCTTACTTGATCATTCTAAACATTTGTACACAGCAAAGCCAGTATATTTTCCCACAATTTTCAAATTTATTTATTTAACAGTTATTGGCTATCAATTGGTGGTGTCGGTAGTTGTGAGTTTTCGGATGCAGCTACATTCTGAAAGCTTCTGTTTTTGATGTCACTTATCAGATACTTTGTTGTCAGATAACTGATCACTTTCTATATAGGCATTAAGACGTTTCAGTGAACCCACTACTGCTTTACAAATCTAATTTCGTGTCCTGTCTTGTATTCATCCAAAAATAGGTAAGCAACCAGAACAACCAACGTGGCAATAAATATTCTGACACTCTTGCAAGATAAAAAAACAAAATTTGAATTAAAACCAATAACTCGAAATCCTAAATGAACGTGTGGCTTTTCACATTGAATACTTGTTCTAGAATGCAGTCCACTCTTGGAACCCTGGCAAAGTGCTGCGTACTGTTCTTTTTGCAATGCTTAGCTCATTGTTCAGTAAAATCGATTTGATACCGCATTACAAACAGTCTACTGTTATCATTTGTTCTTCTCCCCGAAACCCCGGGTCACTAACACATCGGTACGCTGTGCAAAGGTATTGTCACGCGCAGCTTGGAGTTGTCAACGATGGAAGACATGAGCTAATTTTAAGCCCACTTTGTCGTTCGGTGAGTTAAGAAAAAACACAAAATGATTCCTTTTTGAGTGTCTAATGTCATTCTGAATTTGTGAAAGGCGTCGAAAATGAACATTAGTAATAAAGCTTGAACCTCCAGGCACAAAGTTTTCACTCTTTGAATTGTTTTTTTAAAGTTCCTTTTTGTGGATTTGGGAACCAGTCATAAGAAGAACATCGTTGCAGTTAAATTGTTTTATCTAGGTACACATTGTGTTTTTGATTCAACAGGTGAACTCCAAACGATCCGTTTATTCTGTTATTGATTTTTGCTGTTATATGTAATTCTCTTTGCTCTATCGCTTCAAACAACGAATAACAATCAAGTTTGGTCAAATTTTGCATGAATTGGCTCACGCTTTGGGTTTGATGCACGAACTGATGCGCCCGGATCGAGATGACTATATCATCGTGCACGAGGAAAATATTTCACCTGGATACCTAGAGGAATTCCGACGTTTGCTGCCGCATGAAGCCCAAATGTGGAACAGAGATTTTGATTTTCAGTCTGTCACTCTGTACGATCCATTTGTGAGTTAACTGGCTTTTTTCTCCGTCTTGTTCCAACCGCGTTTTGTTCATACTTGTCCGTCGTTTGTTATCTTAAAGGGCAAACTGAAGGAGTCTCACGTTTAATTCGTGCCTTCAAGGAACCAGTGGGAAGACAGTTATTTTCACTTCAGCAGATTCTCACAGTCACCGGAGCTCTGAGTTTTAACATTTTGTAAGGTCGGTGTGCAACATGGTCGTTATTGCCAGCGTCCGACGAAGTTAATTTCTCCACACATCTAATCGATTTCAGGATACTCCACCTTTTACGCACCCGTTTCACTGTAGCAACTTATGTGAATACTTCCACAATATTTTGACAAGCACAAAGTCAAAACAAGATCAATATTCGTTGAGCTTGTCCTACCTAACTCTGCACATTTCTATCCAATTGACGCAGTTTAGGTGCACTAATTTTCTTCAAGTCCACCAATGAATAGAACGNTGCTAAACATCTGCTTGACTGTGATTTTTCCATTCACGATTGACGACAACTTATCCAGGAAAAAATCTAGACAAGCGTTTTCGCTCTCCAGGTTTGGCTCTGACGTCACACAAACTGGCACAAATTAGCTATTGTTTCAAATTAGTTTGCAGGAAAATTTATTGGCATGTAGCTTTTATCATGCGATGTTTATAGTTACATTTCCTTTCCAATAGACCGGATTTGGATAGAAGTGCACCGTTACAGAACGCGTTTGACCATTTAAATTTAGCCGCTCACTATCAACCAATTCCACTGAAGTTAATCGCCTGGGGAGCGTTTGCCTGGTGTCATCCAC